GGTTATGGTCTGAAAAGGGAGGGAGTGGTGGCCAAAAAAACAGATCAAAAGCGACACTTTTTTCTGGAAGTTAGGCAGGGAGATGGTGGAAAGGCAGGAGCTCTGCACTGTTTCCATTTTAGTCTGATTTGCTGTGGTTTACTTTTGTGGATGGCAATGCAAACTGTTTCCTCCCTGCCCACCCTGTGGGAGAGACAGTGGGGTTAAACCTTTCTCTCCAATCTGACAGTTAATGATGTCTCCTTTGGAGTGGTTTGCTTTAGGTGCAGCTCAGCCCACCTTTGTACGGGAGGTGTAAGGGGAATTGTGTGCAGCATGCTGTGAGAAGGGGGTTGCAGTCCTGGGCAGGGGGCAGCAGGGATGCACCTGTGGGTGCAGAGAACCTGGGCACCCAAGACGAACAGGACAGGCGATGCATCACCCTAGACCACATCCTGTAGCTCCGGGACTTCGTTGGCAAAACTTAGAGGGTTTCTTTGCAGACAGAGGCAATGCAGACTAAAGGCGTTTCATTCAGCCTATTAGTTTCTAGGGAATTTGGTCACGGCTGTTTTCTTGGTGATACGTGGGCTTTGTTTACAATCTTGGGTGGCCCTCGTAAAAAGTCGAGGCAGATGCTGAGATTAATCCCAGCTACATTTGGCTGCCTGCTCTGCCTGTGCTTCCTTCTGTGGCCCTGCAGAGCCAGAGTGGGAAGGTCTCCACAGTGCCCGTGCCCACCCTGAGGAAGGTCAGTTTGTCTAATAGGCTGCATCATCCAAAAACCACCTGTATCCTGAGCGTTATACCTTGCCTGAGACGCACGCTTTTCCTCTGGTTTGGGTTTGGTTTTTTTAATTTTCTCGTCTCCTGTCTCGGATTGTTTCTCTGATTTCTGTCCTGCACAGTTCCTAGTCTCCAGCCCTGAGCACAATGAGGTCCTATGGGGGTGGCTGGAAAGCATTGGTTTGGCTGGGAATATGGAACTTGAGCTGAAAGAATAGAAGCTATCTGTGTTTATATATATAAATATATCTATATAAACTCTTCTCTCAATATTTACATAGCTCCGCACGCAGATATGCTCTCTGCAATAGGGACCTGGAGGCCCTAGAAAGGTTCCTGTCGCCTTCTGTGGGTCTTACATAAATTCAGACTAAGAAAACAGCCAGAAACCTGCATGACATGATAGTATGCAACAGAGAGCCTCCCTGGATAACTAGAAATGGAACTGAGACAGGAAAAAATCCCTCTGGAGGGACTCAGGCTCAGGTCTCAGGGCTGGGGTCAGCTCTGTTTGCATTCACAGGACTTGAAGGGGGTGAGGGACATGCTTCCCCCATCGGCACTGCAAAAGAGCGAAAGCCAAGGGTCCTGCACCATCCTGGCCCTCCCAGTATGTGTTTTCTTACTCTTTCATCACCTGAAACACTGTCTTAAGTAGACACATTTTTCCTTACAAGCCCAGCATCTTGCCAGAAGCTTCCTCTGCTGCCTGCAAGGGCAGGACCCGACAACACCTCCAAAGTCTCATTTCTCCTGCCACCACTCCAGCCTCTTTTAAGAGGTTTCCCATTTGGCAGATTCGCAGTGAAACACTCTTAATTGCCCTTAATCTTTGTCTGCCTTTTAATTCACTGGTTAGGTGTTTATCTTGCAGGGATCCTGCGGAGCTGTGCCACAGTGCAGCTCCCTGCCAGCGTGAGCAGGGACGGGCCAGCTGAGATAGCAACCAAGGGAGCAGCAGGGCTGCCGTATGTACAGCGCAGACTTGGACTGTTTTGACACGAACATAATTTTATTTATTTTTTCACACATGCTTTCGTTATTGGTTGCATTTTCTCAGCATGAGGTATTTTTAATAAACATGATAAAACTCTTTTATGGAAGCATTAACACTCAACAGTTCTATTAGAAACACACATAAACTTAGCTGAAATTTTTGTTGTATTCGCTGCCTCAGAGAAACAGGTGCTTAGGAAAAACAAAAGGAGCAGTCACACATGATGAGTTTGCATTTGTCCATCTCACAACACAATCATTTGCTAGAGCAATTGCTTGTGCATGCCCTCTAGCAGACATCCACGTACCAGAGCTTTCCACTGTTTTTTATTCCCTCCTTGGATGGGTGTTCTTGCTCAGCTGCTGATTCCCACCCGCCCAAGTGCCCGGTGAGTGGTCTGATCTGCTGGCAAAGCAAGTCCACGGGCACCAGCCCTGCTCCTTGTTAAGCCTGATCTGCATGCTGCTGTGGTGCCAGTTTTAGAAAATCTTGCAAAACCAATTCCCCTTCCAGCTCTAACTAATGGGTAGAAGTAAAAGACGGACAGGTCATGCATGGCTGGTAGAGATTTGCAACCATGTCTGCAGGAGCCTGCGCCAGGGAGCACCATTGGCTGGCTCCATCCAAGGGCACTGCCTACCCTTTTCTCATTCTCACTGTTATACTTCCCAAAGCTGTCGTAATCTGGAGAGCACCAGCCGTCACCACACTCCTCTGAGCTTTGGGTGAACCAAAATTTGCTCTTTACAAGTAAGACACTGTGATGCTGAGTGGACCATCATCACACAGGAGATTTCTCTCTGTGTCTATCCTCTTGGAGAGGTTTGGCCTCATAAAGCAGAATCATGCCCAGAAGTATTGAAGACTGAGACTCTGCACTAATGAGAGGTCTTAGATGAAGCTGTCCGGTAATGAGTTGCCCCTGGGCAGGCAAACTCCCTGGGAAATGCCAAGGGAGCAGGAGCAGGAGCTGCCTGTGCTGCTCATGTCTTCTTCTCTTAGATGTATGTGACATTGTCATGGCATTTGCAGGCGGGGACAGGAAGACCTCCAGCACACACAGCAGCCCTCACCCACATCTCTGGTGACTTGTCTGTCACAGCCTCAGCTTGTGTTCGTTCTATTACCAGTAGAAAATCGATGTTCTTGCTCCCACTAAAGAAACAAAAGATCTCAGATAAATGAACTTTCAGAGATAAATCTTTGCAACATTTAATAGCAGATAGGCTTTTTAACGTCCCAGGCAGACAGTAATGCGTCTGATTGTTGTTACGCATTTCAGTGTTCTGCAGTAGCGTGTGTGATACTCCTGAGGGTTTGGACATATCTAATACAGAAGTGCAGCCACAAGCATTTATAAAACCCTTAAAGTTACCTCTCGGTTTGCAAAAAGACTAGGCAAAGGCAGGCACTTCCAGAACAGAGGTCTCTGGAAGCCCAATGTGCCATACAAGTTGTACCAAGGCTACAACCCAGATTCTTCACTTTGAGGTAAAGGGGACTTGGCCCTTACTGCCAGCATGGAGCCCCTGGCACAGGAGGTCCCTGGAGGGCTGGGTCTGCTGAAAGGTCCCCAGCCAGGGAGGGAGATCTATCCACCACCCCCAGCTCCCACACACTGGCAGGCAACTCCCCAGGCAAGGCAATGGTTCAGTCTTCAAAACCTTACAGAAATGGGGTTTTCCTTCATGCCCCAGGCTGCCCCATGGCATGGACATGGGGTCCTGGACAATTCAAGATGGGAGACAAAGAGAAGCAATGGCGTGGGTCTGTTAAAAATGTCACTTGGAAGCGCTTTATGGCTTCAAGTGGACAGAGATCCCTCCCAGGGGTGCTTGGGATGGCTCCAGTTTTGGGGAAAGATTTATGGAGCCACAATAGACTCTGCTCAAAATCTTAAAACACTTTAAATCATGTTGATTAAACCCATCAGGTTTTGTGTGGATTTGGAGTCCTCATTTTCCCCAGAACAAACTCACCAGATGCGTCAGTAAATCCCAGGGCAGGCTCATGGGACCCCCAGCCAGTCAGAGATGGCTGGGCAAGGATTCAGGCAGTGTGCGCTGTTTATGTCTAGCTCAGCCAGCTAATGCAGAAAGTAGGGAAATTTCTAGTCTAACGGAAAACTTCCTCAAGTCCAGGCACGACCTGTCTGTGGGAAAATTCCACTGGTGTGGACAGGACACCTGTGGTTTAGCTGCCGGGCTGGTCAGAGGGGACCACGTCCAGGCCACGCTGCCCACTGGGGCATTGCACGTCCATGCCCAGTCACCCCTAAATCCTACCCATTTCCGCATCACATTGCAGTGCTTGCTGATGGGATGGTTAAAGGACGTGTGTGTGAGTTAGGCAAAGAGCTTTTAATTATAGCATGCACCATTAGCCATTAATAGCCTGGCAGCTGGAGAAAATCCTGAGTGACAAGCTGGGTCCCCCACACACCCGTGTTCCTTCGGTGCCTGATGGCTACCACTTCCCAGGACCCCGATCAAAGTGGGCTGTGGAAGCATTTAGCTGGATCTGAAGCATGCCTCTGCTGTAGGTAATTGCAGGATGTTAATGAACAGGGACCTGGAGCTGTGTGTCTTTGATGGCTCTGATGGAAAGGGCTCAGCAAAAGGAGAGCTGGAGCTGCCAAGGCAGCTTTGCACCCTGGAATGAGTTTGTGCCTTGGGATGGGGGTAGCATGGGAGGGCTGGGGAGGAGGAATGGAGTGGTGGGTTTGTTGGGCATCTCCATTTCCATGTGTTCCCCAGCAGAACTGCCTCTGCCCAGATGTTATGGCTCCAAGGCTGTGTTTTGCTGCTAAAAGTGCTCCAAAAGCAAGAGTTTGGGTCCCTCTTTTCCCCTGGGGCATGCTCCTGCCTCCTCAGTGGTCTCCGGCACCTCATCAGCTCACACTTGCTCCAGTCAGAGCACAGTTCTGTGGGACACCGGTGCCTCACCGGTGTCTCAATGCTGGTCCTCGGCAGCAGCACAGGCACCCTTCAGCCCCCCGGCCCTGCTCTGGCCCAAAAGTCACCAGAGTTGGGCACAAAGCAGGATGCGGCCCCAGGAGCAGAACGTCCCAAAGGCGACAGCACACCTGCAAGGGGTCCAAGGGTGCGAGGTGCTGCCCCAGCGCTGAGCACCTCCTTTTCCTCGGGCAGAGCCTCCTCTGATCCACTCCCGACAGGACAGGCATGCATGTCCCTTGGGGCAGTTTCCCTGTGGCAACCTCTCCATCTGCCTGCCCTAGGCCCTGCACTGCAACGGGGTGGATGACTGCGACAACGAAGCTGATGAGGAGAACTGTGGCAAGCAGCAAGCCCTTCGCAAAGAGGGATGCCCCCAGAGTAAGTAACCCCCAGACCTGGGAACACCAGGGTCTGGGACCACGAGTGCATCAGAGTAGAGCTTGCTCTTCCCCTGGGAGCAATGACAGCATGAGGAAACCTGGATCTGCTTCAGTATCCAACTGCCTCCCAGTCTCTTGTATTTGCATGCCATCCCGGCCATGTGTGCCTCCCAGGGAGGAGCTCATCCCTCAAGGATTCGCCCAGGCTGGGGTGCAGGAAAACTCTTACTGCTACAAGGCTGGGGCTGCTATTTCTGGGCAGAGGAGCAGAGGGGCTTCTGGGACCTGATTCACCGAGTGGCTTGGATGCAGCAGCTGGCTCACGATACCCTTACAGCGGGCTAGGTGGGGTGCTAGAAAAAGAGGGAAGAAAATTTTCTTGTGACTGTGCTGGGAGACATGCCATGGGGCTCGACAATGTCTGTTCCTGCCTACAGCTGTGGGGCTGGAGCCACATCTGTGGCTTCGTGTGATCCAGCACCCTCTCCCAAGGCTGCCGGGGTTCTGCTCCACTCCGCTTCTAACGGTGGTCCCCGTTCTCTGCCCTGCAGTGGATGACAGCGGCTGGCTGCAGATCTTGGGCAACATGCTGGCTGCAAGGAGCAGCAGGATGGTGGTGGAAGATGAGGTTGATGCCTGCTGTAAGCTGTCTTCCCCAGGACTGGACATCCTTTCCCACCCCCCGCGGGTCTCCCCTGCTCCACACGGGCCCCCCATGCCCTCGCCTCAGCACATCCCCTCTGCTTGCCCACAGGGCTGGAGCTCTTCCCAGAGCGGTGCCGGTGCTGGGGAAGGGCTGTAGACTGCACCGAGCAGGACCTTGCCACTGTCCCCTGGGTCTCCTCCAACGTGACTAGGATGTGAGTAGCCACAGGTGCATGCACCCCTCTCCCCTAGCAGAGGCACATGCTGCCACCCAGCAGGAAAAGAAGCTTAAAGGGAAGGAAATAAAATCCCTGGCTTTTACTTGTCCCTGGATCCAAAGAACCAAAAAGCCCCTTTCCTTGCTGACAGACCCCTCCCTGCTGAGCTTCAGCTGCTCACTGCCACCCTCCCAGCACAGCGCTGAGCTGGGAGCAGGGAGCGGCCAGATCCTGCCTGGGATGAGGACTAGGCAGCATGCCCTCTGCCAAGCCTCCAGCCAAGATGCACAGGGTCAGAAGCCGATGGCGAGGTTGAAGCCTGGGCGTGCCTTTGCACACACAAAGCAAGGGCTAGGAAGGGAGGAGAGTGTGGAAAAACTCAACTGCAGCAAATAATGCTTGCAGATTCGGAAGGCAATTAGCAATGTAGTGTTAATGAACAGCAGCTGACTTGAATTTTTTTTGTATCACACCAGAGGGTCTAGTCTTCCCTGTTCTCCTTTAATAAAGGCCTCACCTCTGTCCTAGTCTGCTGGTGCTGGGTTTGATTTTTTTTTCCTTCTGTTTTCCTGCTAGGGACCTGAAAAAAAATAAAATCCATTCTCTGCTGGACAGTCAGTTTGCTAGGTACAGGAGCATGAAGAAGCTGTGAATATCACCTTCTTTATCCTGCTCTCTGGCTTGTTTGTGCTAAAAGGGGAGAGCAATGTATGCAGGTTGACGTCAGTGGGGCCATATGCAGAGGAACAAGAGTGTGCCCTTATCGGACAGCTTTGCTTGGGACAACGCACCCTGATGGGGCACTATGTTTGTCCAGACAGCAGCTTTTTTGACTCCTGGAGCCTGTGGTGCCCACTGAAGTCAGCAGACACTTGCTATGGGCATTGCAAGCTCCTGCCACGCTGCCCCCACCACTCTGCTCCTCACGGGTGGGCGAGCAAGGTCATGGAGCAGTGCCTGTTCTTGGCTGATAACCTCCCTGTGTGCATGGTGGCATGAGATGCCTTGTGAGTAAGCTGTCTAGCTCTGGAGAGCTCAGACCCTTTGGTTGCTCAGCCCATCATCTTTCTAGGCTCTGCACCAGGGAGGTCGGGGGGGATCCAGAGGAACAGGGGAGAGGGGTGAAGCAGCTCACAGCAGCACTTGTGGCTGTCGGGCATCTGTACTTTCAACTTCCTTCCCTTTGCATGGAGTAAATGAGGCAGAGAGGGAAGACAGCCTCTCCAGGGTCACTTGAGACAAAGAGCCTGCGACGGAGCAGGGACTGCAGGCTCGACCTCTGTCCCCACGCACTACCAGGGACAGCCAGCCTGTGAATGCTGAGCAGGCGGCAGCCAGCCCTGCAAGCCATGCGGCTGGGGTCCTGCAGACCTAAACAAATC